AGGGCCCCATCAATTCGGAAGATTATTAATTCTCCCAGCAGAGGGAAGGAGGGTTTTGCTGATAGAGACAGGGACAGACAAAAGGTGACAAGGGTAATACATTTTCCAAGCAGAGCTGTGTTGACATCGTCGGCCCTGTCAAGGCCTCGGCTGAAGCAATCCCCGCTGGACGTGACACGCAGCTCAGGGCACATTCTCAAAGGGGGAAATCCATTTGACGGACAGATCGTCAGGGAGGGCGTCTTCGTAATTGGATTTATCGGCTTTTAAGAGGCCCCCCTGTGTGAGGAATGCCAATCAATGCTCCCTCTAAGCCAGGGGTGTCAAACATGCAGCCCGGGGGCCGGATCGGGCCCCCCGAGCGCTTCTATCAGGCCCGCAGCGGAACTGGCTGTTTTTTGCTGCTGCTTCTTCCAGTTCTGCTGCTGCTGCGTCATCGTAGGTTTGCAGCTTACAGATACACACCTGAACAGCATACTCAAGATTGCAACAGCACAGGCATTTTGATGCAATAATTCAGAGCAAGAGGCGTCAGTTACCAGACAGGTAAATAAACAAAATATTACAAAAGTGCTAATGTTTTAAGCACGTTTTTAAGTTAAACAAAAACCCTTTGTGTTCGTGTCCTTTATAAAATTTATATCTCCACTACCTAGCATTACATTTTATGACATGCATGGCCCGGCCCAACAAGGTCTCATTTATGTCAGATCCGGCCCTCATAACAAAGGAGTTCAACATCCCTGTCTAAGCTGTGGAGTCTTGTGAGCAAAAATTCTACTTTGTGAGCGACTGGCATTAAAGTTGTGAGTGAGCGATTTGGCGGCTTCATAAATGAGTTTGTTCTGGAGCCCTCCTCCCTGAGCGGAGACCAAAATGCGTGAGCCGGAGGCTAAAAAACTGTGGGCTAGCTCACGCTAACTCTGCTTAGAGGGAACACCGATGCCAATCTCTCTGCAATGCAGACTGCACCAAGCCTTTCTTGTGCCAGTGGAGGGGAGGCAAACTGGTGCTCCCCCCGTGCGTTAGTCTATTTTAGGATCCCTGGGGTAGCCAACCACCAAGCGGGACCTGGAAACCTCCCAGAACTACAACTCATCTCCAGGCAACACAGATCAGTCCCCTTGGAGAGAATGGCTGCTTTGGAATGCCAATCAACTCTATGCCATTCTACTCCAATGAGGCCCTTCCCCTTCCCAAACCCCGCCCTTCACAGGCTCCGCCCACAAAATCTCCAGGAATTTCCCAACTTAGATCTGGCAACACGAAGGATCCCTAAGTCGGGTTCTCCATTAGTTTCCACTTTTAGATAGTAGCTATAGAGGCACCTTTCCACCTGGGATTTACGCCCCTGTCAAATGTTCCCTTACATCCTCCTGGGGACGTTTTTCAAAGTGTCTTTGTCGTGCAGCCAACCATCTGTGCATGGAAGGAACCCACAGAATTCCTCCCCCCCCCTTTGCTCTCCATTTCTGCGGGCCCTTCGGACCTCCACAAAGAGAAGAGAAGAGATTGGATTTATACCCCGCCCTTCACTCGGAGTCTCAGAGCGGCTTACAAACTCCTTTCCCTTCCCCTCCCCACAACGGACACCCTGTGAGGTGGGTGGGGCCGAGAGAACTCTGACACAAACTGCTCTTTTTCAAGGACGGCTGTGCCAGAGCTTGTGACTGACCCAAGGTCACATCAGCAGGTGCACGTGGAGGAGTGGGGAATCAAACCCGGTTCTCCCAGATTAGAGTCCGCGCACTTAACCACTACACCAAACTGGCTCTCTGATGATTTCCACAGTCAGGGGATGAAATAGGGTCCTCCCCCCCCAAAAAAAATCTGCAGAGCTGTGCTTGTAGAAGAAGGAACAGGAGTACTTTTTTTGGTCAACTTCTGTCCCTTGAGCAGGGGTCACTGGGGGTGTGGGCAATGCTCCCCCTAAGCTGTGGAGTCTTCTGAGCAAAACTTCTACTTTTTGAGCTACTGACATTAAAGTTGTGAGTGAGTGACTTGGGTTAGTTTGCTCCGGAGCCCTCCTTCCTGAGCTAAGACAAAAATGTGTGAGCCGGAGGCTATTCAGAGCTCTCTCAGCCCCACCCACCTCACAGGGTGTCTGTTGTGGGGAGGGGAAGGGAGAGGAGTTTGTCAGCCGCTCTGAGACTCCAAGTGAAGGGCGGGGTATAAATCCAATCTCTTCTCTTCTCTTCTTCTTCTATGATCCTATGATACTTTCAGCCCTCTCCCCCACTCAACCATTCCACCATGTAGGTCCCACGGCCCCAAGAACGACCTTTCTAGGGGACAGCAGGAACGAAGAGGAATATGGGGAAACTCTGCTTTCCACGCATGTATGCTTGGATCCAGTCCAATATACCACGTAAAAGCCAGCTGTGAAAGGCACTGATTGGCTAGCAGTCATGACACCACCCATTCATTCCCCTGAATTGTTCATTTTTAAAAGTTATTTTTAAGAAAAGAAAGAAAAGAAAAGAAAAGAAAAGAAAAGAAAAAAGCACGGGCCATAAGGTATAGATAGGAACTCTGGGGCGAGTGATGCTCTGTGTTCTTGGTGCTGGGAGGGGGGGCAACAGTGGGAGGGCATCTAGTGTCCTGGCCCCACTGCTGGACCTCCTGAGGGCACCTGGTATCTTTGGCCACTGTGTGACAGAGTGTTGGACTGGAGGGGCCATTGGCCTGATCCAACATTGGCTTCTCTTATGTTCTTATGAATATATAAAGGAATATTACATTTAGTGGGGGGTGGGAGGTTTCCCCACGCTTGCTAAAGAACGAGGTGACGGGCAAGAACTAACGAATAACCGGATGGCATGAAAAATGAACCTTCCCTAGAAGGTGAAATGACCACATCGAGGGGGTCATGTCACGAAAAGACAAGAGTTGCTGGGAAGGCCAATACTGCTCGGAAAAGCTGAAGGCGGGAGGAAAAAAGAAAGACCCGGCATGAGATGGACTTCGTGAATGAAGCCCCAAAGGCCCTCAGTTGGCATGACCTGAGCAAGGTCTGTGAACGAGAGGATGTTTTGGGGAACATTAATTCAGAGGGTGGCCAGAAGCCAGAAGCGACATGACGGCACCTAACACATAAACATGAAAAATGGGGTGCCAGGCCTGTAAGAGGTAAAGAACCTTGCGGGGTTCTCTCTCAGATACCAGCTAACCCGTAGCTACGGTGGGCCATTGGGGGCTCCGCCCCCTTCCTTAAAGCACCCGCCCCCACTTCTTAAAGGCCCCCTGCTTCTTCCCAAAAGCATTTAAAGGGATCCTTTAAATCAGGGGTGTCGAACTCATTTGTTATGAGGGCCGGATCGGATGTAAATGAGGCCTTGTTGGGCCGGGCCGTGTGTGTCATAAAATGTAATGCCAGGGAGCGGAGAGATAAACTTCATAAAGGACACAAACGCAAAGAGGTGTGTTTTTTTAACTTAAAATAAAAACATGCTTCAAACACTAGCACTCTTGCAATATTTTGTTTGTTTAACCGTGTCTGATAACTGACACCTCTTGCTCTGAATTATTGCATCAAAACGTCTGTGCCGTTGCAATCTTGACCAATGCTCCCTCTAAGCTGCAGAGTCTTGTGAGCAAAAATTCTACTTTGTGAGCTGCTGGCATTTAATTTGTGAGTCAGTGATTTGGTCACTGCATAAATTAGTTTGCTTTCGAGCCATCCTCCCTGAGCTAAGACAAAAATCTGTGAGCTGGAGGCTAAAAACCTGTGAGCTAGCTCACACTAACTCAGCTTAGAGGGAACACTGATCTTGACTCTGCTGTTCAGGTGTGTATCTGTAAGCTGCAGACCTATAACGATGCAGCAGCAGCAGAACTGGAAGAGGAAGCCGAAGACAGCCAGTTCCATTGCGGGCCTGATAAAAGCCCTCCATGGGCCTCATCCGGCCCCGGGCCGCACGTTTGACACCCCGGCTTTAAATGCCTTTGAGAAGAAGTGTGGGGTGTCTCACGCCCCTCTCCCTCCCCTCCTGCAAGATGTAAAGGGCCCTCCAGCTAACCGGCGGGGAGGCCCCTTTAAATCTGGCAGGAGGGGAGGGAGAGGGGCGCACAGCCCCGCCAGAAAAATGTCTGCCCCACAAGCCTCAGAATCCTGGCTACGGGCCCGGAACACCAGGCTGACTTCACTGTGTATGATTTTAAAGACACCAAAGGTATCGCTACTACTGCTAAACTGTTAGGGCGCTAGACGGAACACGTGAAAGGCTGCCTCGCTCAGGGCCACAGCTATGGGGCAACGCTGACGAGACGCGTATCTCCAGCATGTATTTTTTGGTGAGTTGCAGCCCCCCAGGGAGCCCCAGTTTCTATCAGGATCGTGGCACGAACAGGAAAGTTGCTTAACTTCTCCCCACCCACCCCACAACGTCTTCCTAGAGCTCTCTGCTCCAGGCAATCTGCACGTTTCAACGGCATGGGGAAGAAAGGAAGAAATGCCTTTCTCCCTTCCCTATCTATTCAGGGCTATTTCTCCCCCCCTTTTTGGGGTATTTTTTTCTATTCTTCATATGTGTGTGTGTGTGACTGTGCGTCCACCTGGAAGTCATGGCGACCTCTGGTGACTGACCCCTACTGGGGGCCTGCAGGATATTCAGAGAGGTGGCTGAGTAAAGCCTGCCCCCGCCTTTCACCTCTGGTCTTCCTTGGAGGTCTCCCATCCCAAGTACTTGCCAGAGTCGGCCCTGCTTAGCTTCCAAGATCTGACGAGATCGGGCTTGCCGGAGCTATCCAGGTCAGGGCAATTCAGGGCTATTTCTCATTGGGTCTCTCCCTCATCAGAGCCCAAACAGGAGAGATTAAAACTCTCACAGCAGCGATAAGGTATTCAGAGCAGGAGATCTGAGACAGGCAGGTTCTCGCCCCCCCCCAAGTTGACCCGTGAAGCTAAGCGGTTCTCTTTGGACCAGTTGTCCCCCCTCAGAAGAGCCGACCTCACAGGGCTGTTGTGATGATAAAACAGGGGAAAGGGTCGCAAGTCTCACCTGTAATTTCACCTTCACGCCATCCACATTCAAGACTTTATTCTGGAAGAGAGAGAAATGGATAAATTAGGTGGCGGGGAGGGAGATGGGCCTTGATGTTAGATTCACCGCCAATTTTACTAACCCCCTTCAGCTCCTGGACATTTCGCAGACATCAGATAAACTGCCATACGGAAAAGAAGAAGAAGAGATTGGATTTCTACCCCGCCCTTCACTACCCGAAGGAGACTCAGAGCGACTTACAGCCTCCTTCCCTTCCCCTCCCCACAACAGCCACCCTGTGGGGTAGGTGGGGCTGAGAGAGCTCTCCTGAGAACTGCCCTTGAGAGAACAGCTCTGAGAGAACTTAAGACTAACCCAAGGTCCCACCAGCAGCTGCATGTGGAGGAGTGGGGATTCAAACCCGGTCCTCCCAGATCAGAGTCCGCCGCTCTTAACCACTACACCAAACTGGCTCAGTTTGTTAACTGAACTCAAAATGCAAGCCAACATGTGTGAGGGGTGGCCTGTGTGAAACAAGCGAACCTGTGTATCTTTTTGATTGCGTGCACACACAGGGGGAGGCTGACTGGTACCCACAGCACCAGTGTGCCGGCCCATGTTGGTTTTTTTCAAAATACAGTGCGCACACCCCATTCCAAATCCACACGCAGCTCCATCAACACAGCCTCGGGCAAAAAGTTAATGAGCCAGCCCCTCCAGAAACCCCGGCAGGAAAAGAGGACACTGCTAATGAGCAAGCTGCAGGATCCAGCCCCAAACAGTTTTTTGGGAAGGAAACAAGGAGAGGCTTGAATTTTGTAAACACACGAATCTGGCCATTCGTCCTTAAAGAACTGTTCTGCCCGGTCCCACGCTCCCTCACGCACGCAATTTACTCGTCAGTAAAATCCAGAGGGAAGCCAGATTAAGAGCTTGGAACAGCTTCCATTAAACACGGGGATGTGAGCGCCCTTCCTGCAGAGTCGCCCCCCTTCCGGCAAGAAACTGCTTTGGACCGCAGCTGGGGATCATGATGAATGCTGACCAATGTTCCCTCTAAGATGCGGAGTCTTGTGAGCAAACTTTCTACTTTGTGAGCTGCTGGCATTAAAGTTGTAAGTGAATGATTTGGCTACTGCATAAATTTGCTTGCTCTGGAGTCATCCTCCCTAAGACAAAAACCTGTGAGCTGGAGGCTAAAATTCTGTGAGCTAACTCACACTAACTCAGCTTAGAGGGAACACTGATGCTGACCAGGCAGGGCCTGTCGGCGCTCCGGCGCATCCCTGTGAAATCCGACCAATGGTCCATTCACACCAACATCCTGCTACCGATGGTGGGAAGAAGCCGCTGGTGCAAAACGCCCTGCAGGGGACACGGGGGCTAACTGTCAGTTTGCCAGTTTGGCGTAGCGGCTAGGAGCCTGGACTCTAATCTGGGAGAACCGGGTTTGATTCTCCACTCTTCCACAGGCAGCCAGCTGGGTGACCTTTAGTCAGTCATAAGTTCTCTCGGAGCTGATCTTGAAAGAGCAGTTCTCAAAAGAACTCTCTCAGCCCCACCAACCTCACAGGGTGTCTGTTGTAGGGAGAGGAAGGGAAAGGAGATTGTAAGCCGCTCTGAGACTCTGAGGGAAGGGCAGGGGGTAAACCCAATCTCCTCCTCCTCCTCTCCTTTGGAGGTTTTTAAGCAGAGGGTTGCCTCAGTGCTTAGTTCTCGTGGCCCTTTCTTACACGCCCAGGGAAATACTGATCACCACTTCGGGATCAGGAAGCAATTTTCCTCCAGGTCAGTTTGCCTGGGGATCCTGGAGGTTTTTTGTCACCTTCTGGGCATGAAACAGGAGTCACTGGGTGTGTGCGTGGGCGGGAGGTATTTGTGAATTTCCTGCCTTGTGCAGGGGGTTGGACTAGATGACCCTGGAGGTCCCTTCCAACTCTAAGATTCTACGATTCTTCCTTCTTGCAGCAGCCGGCGTGCTCCCCCCCCACCCTCGCCACACACAAATTTCATTTTCCCAGACAGCTGCAGATGGGCTCCATTACCAGCTATCCATTGTTCATCTGCCTCCTGGCAATCAATCAGGCCACAATGCCCATATTTCCCTTTGGTGGGAGCCGCCACCGTGCCCTCTCACCTACACCCAGACGCCAGATAAACACAGCTGTTCCCTCTGTCCACATGCAGAGACCTACACTGCTGATGGCTCCCCTCGGCTACCACAGGGCCCATCTGCTCTGACATCCAAGGCTCATCCCTGCCCAAGCGCTGGGCGGGCCACAGAGTCAACCGTCTCCCTCTTTCCGCTACCATTGGCCTGGCTGCTGTGATGTCACAGAGGGCCTCCAAGCAGGCTCAGGAGAGGCAGCTGAGTTTCGAGGGGAAACGGGAGACGCCCCCCCCCTTCCAAGGCCAACAAACGGATGTTGTTAACTAGATCCGAGTCCAGGATTACTTTAGAAACCAACAAGTTCTTCGGGGCATGAGCTCTGAGACGCCAAGTGAAGGGCGGGGTATAAATCCAATCTCCTCCGCCTTCCGACTGGGATAGAAGGACTCACGGACCTGGAAGGACTCCAGGATCTCCAGACGTCCAAAGAATACCAAGACTGGGAGGCAGAGGCAGGTTATTATTAAGCCACTCCTCTGAACGTCCTCCGTACCCCAGTAGGAGTCGCCAGAGGTCGCCATGACTTCCAGGCACGGTTGCACACACACACACACTGGGGGGAATCCTATTTGTATCTGATGAAGGGAGCGTCAGACTCTCAAAAGCTTATACATATATCTATGTATCCACCCATCCATCCATCCTATCTATATCTTGTTGGTCTCTAGGCTGCTACTGGACTCGAATCGAGCCGTTCTAATGCAAACCAAAGCTGTTCTCCGGAAACTGTTGTTAACTGAGCTCAAAAGCCTCACTTCCTTAACGAAGACGTGAGCAGTGACTCAAAAAAGCTCCTCCCCTGCCACGCATTTTGTTAGTCTTTCAGGTGTTCCTGGACTCTTTTCTATGACCACCTTTTATGAGGGCTAACCAAAGCATCCCGAAACAGTGCATAAGCTTTCAAGTTTTTCCAGAACTCACAATCGGCCTGGACGTTAACAAGCCAAACCGGGAGGGGGTGTTGGTGTTAAAGCAAATATCTCATATCCCTATCCTAATAACCATTTTTCTGCATTCTGCATCATGCGTCATATTCTATGCTTGCTCGGGTTTCTACAATCCTAGTCCTATTACATTGCTTATGAGACGCCTCATCCTATTGACTGCATTGACCTACACAGGGCAATTTTGGTAGAAAAAGCCCAGCAGGAACTCATTAGCATAATAGGCCACACCCAACTACAGAAACTCATTAGCATATTAGGCCACACCCCTGACAGCACAGATCATTAGCACATTAGGCCGCACTCCCATGTTACCAGAAGTGTGGTCATCCAGCCACACCCACCTTTTGCTTGTTATTCTGTTTACCTTGTTTGTTGTCAAAACCCAGGGCCTTTTTTTGTAGCAGTAACTCCTTTGCATGTTAGGCCACACACCCCGAATTTAGCCAATCCTAATGAGTTCCTGCTGTTGGGTGTGGCCTATTATGCTAATGAGTTCCTGCTGGGCGTGGCCAACTCAGGAGCCAGCCGGAACTCCGTTCCTGTGCGTTCCTGCCCAAAAATAGCCCTGGACCTACACCAGGTAATCCGCCTTGAGCCTTGGTGAGAAAGGTGAACTGTAAATCTAGGAAATATATGCACGAATGAATAAAACCCTTAAGGCCCCTTTCTCGGCCTCCGTCACAGAATGGAAGGCAGACGAGAAAACACAAGGCGATGACAGATGGAACTGGTAATGGGCCTTCCTTTGGCCTTCCAGGAGAGAGAACAGAAACACCCAACTGAAAACAGGGAAACAGGAGCTGACGAAGACTCTGCTAGGCCAAACGGAATGTAGAGTTCCTCTAGAAAACTAAGAGCTAAGGGGGACATAAACAGGGTGGGCATATTAACAAACACAGTAGTTCATCAACAGTCCCCAAATGAACCTCATCAGTTGCAG